CCCCCCCCCCCCCCCCCCCCCCCGGGCCCAGACTTCGACCTGTTGGCCTTTCTGTCTTGAGATTGTTTTTCCGCGTGTACCCAGGAGGTGTTGGTTTTTGGCGCGCATCTGTATCATCGCCTGAACGAGGCAACTCTAGTGATTCCCTCTTGATTTTGTATTAAGTCGTAAATGGAAATGTGCAGGGGTCTCATCAGATCAGGGCCGCCATTTGATTGAGCCCTTTTGTCTAGACATTCCGTCACACTTGGGCGTGTTTGTCGTCGTTATCCTCGGTTCCTCCGAACTAGCGCTGACCCGGCCGCACTCGTCATGCGTTGTTTCCCACGTTCCAGGGCAAGAATGAGGAAGCCGCGCCGCTGTTGGAACGCTCCCTTGCCGTCACCGAGAAAGCGTTAGGACCTGATCACCCTGATGTGGCAACAATACGCAACAACTTGGTCAATTTGTCGCAGAAGCAGGAAAGAGCCGTGGGCACCATCCATTAAGACTCCTTGGGTTCCCTATCGAGTCATACGGTCTGTTCCTGGTGATGATAAGTTGTACGGGAGGAGCTTAAAGCTGACGCAGTTGTGCCTAGATGACCGCTAGTCACCGACTCGTCACGGTTATAAAAGAACAAACCGCCTGTCGACCCTGTCCGCAGATTTCTGCGAAGGACTACAGGAGAGAAAGAGATTGGAGTGACGTCCGACATGAGCTAGCGAAGCACGTTGTCTGTGCAGTGTTTTACGCGATCACGAGGCAATCTTAAGCAGAGTGTCGCACAGCCAGTGTGCCACATGCAGTCCAGTCAGGGGTAACACCAACACGAAGCCAGCTCATCATTGGTTCAAAAGGGGTGCAGTCCACCTCGGGTATTTCGATTCCGCAAGAATCAATGCAGGTTGCCATTTTTCTGTACCGAAGTTCTGCTTTTCCGGGCCGAACAGCCTCATCATCGTGGTTTACCCTGTTGACCAATCACCATATTTTGCTGCCCAGTACCCCCTGCCAACCTAGGTTGCAAGGCCTCTATTCGGGTGACAATTTGAAGTGCTACAACAGGCCCTGAGTAGTGGTCCACGGTGGGGGGGAAGCCGTCTTTGGATATCTGCATTTCTAAGATATCGTAGATTGGGTTTCTGGCTGGCTGGGATACCTTTTTTGCAGGAGAGAGGGAGAGAAAGATATAGAGAGGGAGAGAGAGACTGACGGGGGGGGGGGGGGGCGACAAAGTTTTGTGAAATAATACACTCTGTTTACCGTCGCCAAGGAGGTGAATCGACCAACCGTCCGAGACCAACAAATTGGAAGGAAATGTGTGATATTCCCCGCGCCCACGGCACGCACCGCCCAAATAATTAGCCTGGAGTCAAGCGGGCACCAACACGCGCAAAATGGGTAGTTTTTGCGATGATGCACGTCCTCACCGGCCCCTTCGCAGGCACCGAATAGATGTACGAGGAACATGCAAAGAGGGCTTAATACCTTGCGTCTCTCTCTTGAACATACATCCCCGTAATAAACCCCGTCAAGAGATCTCCACGGCATCGACGTATAGGTCTATAGAGTTGCGAAATCCTCATGTGAAAACGACAGTACCTCGAAGATTGGTGTTGATGGGTGCGACACGATGTTCCTTCGGTGAGGGCCTGTACTTCAGTGTCGCTGTGTCTGTCGGTGGAGTGATTGTGTATTTTGTTCCGAAACTGGCGTGAGCAACTCATTCATGAAGCAAATCATGCGAGATCTCGGGGTCGCCGCGAGGGCCGATAGAGATTCTTGACGGAAGAGATACTGTTGCTCCTGGTCGGGCGCGGGTCTTGTTGCCCTCTATTGTCCTGTGCCAACGTTCATAGGGTAGAACATGTGCCGGTTCGGAGCTCTTCTGATTGATCGTCAGCGAGGGTTTCGGAAAATGAATGGAATAATATAGTTTTCTGAGGTACATCTGCAATTGTCGGAAGGCAAAAATAAATAAATGGAATAATGACACAAGCGCATATGGATGTAAGCAGGGCTGGGTACGCACGTGTACTGTAATTCAGTCAATTATATTTGTGATTTTCCACTGAGACTTGGACCCGGCGGCCGCAGGGAATGGAATCCTTGCTATCGGATCGGCCAGGCAACCAAATGAGTGAAATTTCCGTGCAACCCAACAATACTCTACTTGAGTCCACCCCGACGTATTACGGGCAGGTAGATAATCTATGACCTCTCCGCAACACCATTGACGCAGCACAATATGCCCCAGTGATATGAAAGTTGTACAATATTCTACGAGAACCAAGGATCTCGCTAAATGGCCCTCTTTACGTCCAAAATCTACGATGATATGAATCGCACCCCACAAGTGAATAGCATCAGATACCTCTAAGCCCTCATAAGAGGTAACCGCCGACATCGATCGGCAGTCTACAGCCAGGCCGCGCCTCTAGTATCTTTTGCCTTATACGACTCCATTAAGCTGGACGAAACATGCCCGTTGTTCGTGCGGCTTCCGTCGAAGGTACCGTCTTTGCTGAATGAAGCGTGAGGTAGGGACATGTTCACCGAAATTGCTGCCGGCGTCGATGTGGTGCAGGCGATGGTAGTGAAATCGTGCCCGAAGCTGGTGGAGTCCGAGAACTTCTTGGCGAGGATGGGCGATCTACTCGGGAGGCGAGTGGGGCAGGAAGCACGTACATCCGCCAGGAACAGGAGGATGAAGACAGAGCAGCGTAAGATAATACAAATACTCAGTACATTCCTATTGTACATGTACTGTACAGATGGTCCCGCACTCATTCGACCTCACGCCAGGGGCCGTCTCTCTGTTGCCCCAAGTAGAATAGAATCGCAACAAAAAAGATGTTGCGACTCGTGAAAATTGATGTCCACCAAGAAGAGTTGGGAAAAAAATAGTCTAGTACAAAAGCGTTCGCAACACGATTGCAGAGCACAGGTGAGAACCAATTTGTGATCCAGCACACACTCACTCGTCGCTGTCCGTCGTGGTCATGCTGCCGAGGCGGTCCGCGCTGCCTCCACAAGTCATGGGGGGAACGTGTGTGGCCAACGACGCGCTCGAAGGGGGGTGGGACGCCATCCCCACTTGCTTGATCTCGTCCTTGTGGTCGATGTTGCCAGAATCGGCTTGAGGTGGGCCTTGAAACACCGAGGCCGTCACCTTCTCGGAATCGAGTAGTTGCCGAGACGAGGACACCGGGGGGGTACCTGGCTTGGATACCATCTGCATCAGCCCTTCGAAGGCCATTGATAGTTCCTCGATCGCTCCCGACGACGCCTTGTGGTTGTCCGCGATGGCGTCGTATAGCTTCGCCTGAGGATTGGAAGGGCAAGACGGCGTACGTGAACCGTGCAAAATGATGTCGTGTAACGTACGGGTGTTTCAAGTGTGATGGGGTGCTATTCTTTGAATGGGCGAGCAATAGCGTAGTAAAACGACGACTACCGTGCTGTAAAAACCGTGCTACGAACAAAGCGTGTCGCGGACAACGGTACGCGTCTCTCTACTGTGCTTCTTTTGGCAGGACAAGTATTCCAGGTGTCACTCACGTTGACACGTGCAACATGATGTGCGTGTACGTTAATTTTGCAGTATCTGCGCAAACTATGACGAAAGTGGCATACCTGTTGCACGTCCTGGAAGCCTCGGGTGGTTTCCACGCCCGCAGCCATAGTATCCTTGGGCAGAAATAGAACATTACACACGAAGAGACGAAGACGAGTCAGCAAGCACCCTTTGGTCCCAGGAGGGAGTGAAAGCACCCGCGTGCGTGCGTGAGACCTGTTAGAATGAACTGAGGTACATAGGTTTGGCTATAAGTGGTTACATGATTTATTTATTTTTTTGCCTTCCGACAATTGCAGATGTACCTCAGAAAACTTTCACTTAATGTCTCATACTCTACATGAATATTAAACCAATACGAAGTACAACAACATGTGTACGACTTATTTCTACTGTCATTTACATCGTAAAAATATCTCCTCTTCAACTTGAAATAAAACCAATGACAATCCTGATGGTATTCTATATGCGTTCGTAAGCTTGCTAAAATACTAATAATGCGTTGATGTCCTCTTGTACAAGCTGAAATCCAACAAATGCATTGATCCATGCTACATCTCCGTGTTGGAAAAGCCCTTTCATCTCCGTTCATGATAACATCTTACCCTATTCTACGCAAATCTGTCACATCTCATGTCACAAACTGTGGGTGACAATCACAGTAGTTCTAATAATGTACTCCGTGGTCCTGCTCGCCCTTGCACGCGGCTCACTGCGCCTGGTAAGATGTTTCCTTAGGTGACGCATACGATCAAAATACCGCGCTCGAGTGTCGCCTACTGTACGTGGCTCGTTCATTCGTCGACAGCCAAACCCTTCGAATCGTTCATGTTATTCAGGTGGGCCAAAAAGATGCTCCTGAAACAATGCCGCTCGTGAGCGGGTACACTGCAAGACAACACCGACTTTTCGCCAATGATGGTTACCATGCGGGTACCGAGGTGGTGAAGCTTGTCGCCCACGACATCCGTCATTCGTTCGATGCTGTCCATGTAGCGCTCCACCCGGAGGTCGACCTAAGGTAGGTGCACATGAAGAGAAGCACGAGGTACAGCAGAACACGGATGATCATACTAGTCTAGGCGTGTGTAAGATTGTGGTTTGTAAGGCATCAACCGCATCTCTTCACTGAAGTCCTTGTCCTTCGAATCCAATATCTGCAATCCGGAGCTAAGAATCCAGGTAAAAATTCGCTGTTGTCGACCTGTCGTGTGTGGAGGTCGCCGTGTTCGACTGCCTTCCCGATCAGCTGCAGGCTGTCCACCACTGACGTACTAAAGACCTTGTACGTCTCGCTCAGCTTCGCATGGTCTAGCTCGAGCACTTTGTTCTTGGCGCGCACATCAGCCTGAGTGAGGTCGCATGTGAGTACATGACGTCCAGGGGGGTTGGGTGTGATTTCGAATGAATAATCTGTGCCAATTATTTCCGTACGCTATGTAGCATTTCTCCACACAGCAGTTCTTTCCTCGGGGGAGGTAACGTACATGTATGCATGTGACGTTACATAAGACGACTTTTGGTACATGTCGTCCAGCCGAATTGTGCCGGCGAAAAGACATATCGGATACGCTTTCCTTTCGACCACATTTTTCGCACCAGCTCCTTCGCCTGTCGCTTGTTCGCCGTCTTCAAGGACGCGATATCAGCGCCCATTTCTTCCACAACGCTGACGAGCTCCAGAATTGGCTCGGAAAGGTCCTTGTACAGCCCTTCCTCTCCGTCGAGGCCAGAAAGAGAGCGGACGGCAGGCTTTGCGTCAGCCGCACGCACCCAAGCGTCAGCGCCATACGAGACCGCTGATGTTCTGACTTGCGTAGGGACTGTACCGGTGCGGGTCAGTCTCTTGTCGCTACTACTGCTGCTGTTGTTGCCGGCTGCGCGTGGCGTGCTTTGCTTTCTGGCATTCTTGGCTGCTCCCCGGGTCCCCCAGGGTCCCCCGGTTCCCCGTGCAGAGCTCTCAGGCTTAGGGCGCCGCCTGCGTTACGCGTGTGCGGCCAGGCGTCGATTATTTTCCCACGACAAGCAGACATGGCAGCACATGTGGTTCGACTCTTTTGATGCCACATGTACTTCTGTGTTGGGGTGACCAAATATGGACGAATCGGGGTGGCGGAGGGGTGGCGGAGGAATGAATGCGTTATTGTGGTTATTGTTGTTGTTTTCTTGTTGTAGTGAAATATATGTGCTATCAATATATTCCTGTCTCTGGTCATAGCTATGCATATTTACATGTAGTCTGATAGGTTCAATGGTGTATGATCAGCAATCCTAACCTACTTGTCCGATAAGTAAACTGCGTTTGTTCACTCTAGATGCAGTTGTATCGTTCGCACGCGTACACACCTGGTGTAGTCGAGGCGTTCATTCACGGTACACAGAAAAAAAGAGTGACGATTGTTCGGGTTTTCGTGTGGTACACAAATTGTGTTTGCGTTGTCCGAGGGCGGGGGAGATTGGACAAACATAAGGCGCACATTCAAAGTGTGACCGTTAGGACGATACACCGTTGTTGCCGACACCGTATACAACGGTCTGTAATTTCAGATTCTACATACATACGGATGACTCTAAATTTCCCGGCAAGTATTTGTATTGATTGGTTGCCAACGGGTGAATATGCAACCATACATACGCCAACGACACGTATGTATGTAGACTATTCACAAACACCATACATCCCCCAGTCTAGAGTTGAATGAAATTGCGCCCCCACAAGTTGCACAGTATTAATGGTATTGACATTCGCTCGCTTAGATAAGCTTTTGTCAATGTGTCCCTTTCAGTACATCGGAGAAACAACCCCATTAATGAAGTGCTATTTTTCTTGTGTGTGTATAGTTTTTGGTCGAGGTACGAACTGTTGGAGGCGATGATGTTTTCTGCCATAATAAGCTGCATTTTACAAACTCCAAAAAAATGTCTACTTTTGCAGCGTCTGTTGATACATGTGTGACTTGGTGGATGCACTGAAAATATTGACTGATACATGAGTGGCTTGGTGGATGCACTGAAAATGTTGCCTCTTCACATGTGTTCCGGATTTGTTCCCAGCTATGTTTGCGAGCGACCTGACTTCTACGCTTGGCTTGTGCGGACCGGTATCGTTGGCTTCAGCTTGGACGGAAGATTCGGTACCGATTGTTTCGACAAAGTAAGTCAAGTCACGGTAGAGTACGATGTATGACCGCGACAGCCGAAACAGGAAGAGAAAACACCAACAACAGCGGCCACAACAATATCAACACTAGACTACAACTCTGAACCGTTGGTTCTTCCCTTCTCGTATTTCGTGGCCATTGGATGCGCACGACCAACAACCGAACAAAAAGGGAGGCATCAGCTGCATCAAACTCCGGTTTGGAGTCACATCACTCTCAGCTCTCGGAACAAATGGTGGACGCCCTGATTGTTGATTGTGATCTCTTCACGAGTGTGCGCTGTGTCACTATCGTATGGTGCACCATCTTGATTGACTCACTTGAACTGCTCCTTCTCGCCGAGGCACATGGTGTGTGATTGATGAGGATGATGGATGATGACGGATAATAACCCGTTTTCTCCAATGTGCCCTCGATACCACGAGCCTGCGTGAGGGTTTTTTGTCTGGGTGAAATCGTACGTTCGACACCGAGCGAGATACCCACCCGTAGAGGGTGAGCGTGGTGCGTCGCGCGAAATGCGTCCATCATAGCATTAACCTCTCAGAAGTACGTACCACTTGAGGCGTAAAACTACCCACGATCTCAAATGTCTGCACGAAACAGCAGGATAGTATAGTCTACATACAGGAGATCGTGTGGGGGGGTGCCACCGTTGTTTGAACCGATTTCTGCTTTCACACATTGCAAACGGACGTGTCAAGGGTAATGAGTGGCATCACGGCACGACTGAAACGAACTTCTCAAGGGTACTTGGTCTAAAATAGGCTGCCCTCGGCGCTGAGTCACAGGTTCGTATTCCCTGCCGTCTTCCCAGAGCGAAACTGTATAGTTCACGTGTAGTTCACGTGTAGTTCACGTGTAGTTCACGTGTTTATTGGCGAACTAAGTACGGTGGGTGTGATCCTATGTGGACAGCGTCACTACATTCCCAGAGACTTACCTCCAGCGCGAAATCGGTCCGGTCGAACGTTGCCAGCGGAGTATTCTGTCGTGTTCGATTCTCAACTGCCCGGGATGTGGATGATCTGTGAAGTAAGTGCCTTGATGTTTTCGTCGCCGGCTGTATGCTAGGCGAGGGCGCGGTTGTGTGTGATGCACCGGGGCAACTAAAGATGAGGTTTTCGCCGTTGAAGATCCAAATCTGCACCTACTGTAGATATATAGACTACAGCTGAGGCCGACGCTGCCTCTGATCGATTCTGGCAAAGTTGACGCGATATTATGTTTTTCGCCATGTATCATATCGTGTGATCGTTACAAAAAAATCTGTTCTTCACTTCACTGTTGTCTGTGGCCAACGCGCTACGTGGTTGCTCGGAGCTCTTGTGAACATCAAACTCATCAACGATCACCACTGTGTTTCTTCTTTGGCGCCGAAAACGGCCAGGACACCGGGCCTCTACAGTAGGCTCTACTGCATTGGCATCACGGAAGGATGGGACGAGAATGTAAACTCGATGGAGCTCGTCAATTCCTACGCGTGACCGCCAGGCACAGGTAGAGTGAGGCATAGTTTGGGATTGGCGAGGACTGGCGAGGGCTGGCATCGTGGAAACTGAAATACGACAACAAAACGGTTGTGACGGGGTGTGCGAGGCGAGCTGTTCTTGGGATTCGTTCTTCCGTACTGCAGACCACTGTACGATGTATTATACTGCTGTAGACTTATCCGCACATACGTACAATACTCACGAAGAAAACACAGCAACTGCGCCGAGGTCACAGTTTGGGCATTCCAATTTCACTCGATATGATACCTGCCTGTGAAAGGAGAATTTGGCCGGGGTACCAGGGTCATATCCGTGCGGCCATGGGAGCATCCCTCGACGAACATAGGTTATGAGTGATACACCGAGCTCGCTATGTTATAAATTGGACAGAGAGTCTCGACAGCAGTACGCATTCGACGTAAGGAACTCTAGATCATATACTCCACGGGTGCGGTCTGGGATTGCCTGTGGTGCGTTGTCCGGGGTGTGAAGAGGTTGGGTTCGGGGGCAGCATACGCTGCAAAGCCGACAAACACTCTATCAAGATTAGTCTACATGCAAAGGTGACCTAACCGTCGACGACCGGGTTCACCATTTCAATGTGAATGAAGCGTAAGTGCCACCAAGTACACTGTGAAAAAGAGGATGCAACAGTCAGCGCCAGCACATAAAAACTAGGCAGCAAAAGTTGTTTTTGTCGCGAACCCTCACTAAACAAATTTCCGGCACATCCTGAGGGAGATTCAACGCCACGCTCTATTCCCCGATGCGGCGCTACTACTCCGCCGCACCACGCGAACTTCTCTCGTGTTCTCTATTGGATGGGACTATCACGTGATACTTATGATGTCAGAGCTGGCTGGCGGGGTATGTATGATTTTAAATGCCCCCATTTAAGTTCAGGCACTCAAGTTTTTGAAGTTTGGTCACTCCACACGCTACCCGCCTGCGTCTCCTATGTGAAGAGCGCCAATGTTTTTGGGTGACGAAACAGCGACATGTCGTTTTTCGGGGTCATCCTGGAGATGTGATGCTCCGAGATCGACCAACGTTAAGGTCCGGAGGGCCGTCCGGTTCAGCAAGCCGAGTCCACCACCGCCGTCGTCGGTCTCAATGTCAAACGGAAAGCTACATGTGTGGTTTACGCAACCCGAGATCAGAACTACTCTAGCAACCCAGTCAGCATTGGGTTTTGGCTGCTAAAGGGGAAATACATGCCTTGACTGTGCTCGCAAACCGAGGGACTCACTCTCTTCGGAGCTTGAGGGCCTCATTGTTCTGTAGACTGCAGCCCTCAGAAGAAAAGACAGAAGCTCGTCACGCAGATCAGAGACAACGAACCCTGCTTCAGGGCAGCGTGGACATTTCAGTGATTTAAACTGCATGAACGGTGTGGCCATTGCACTCGAGCTCGCGCCAAGGCTAGCAAGTTGCCGCACTCCCGAGCCCGAAGAAGAAAAGCTCGAGTGTATTGCACCAGTTGGCCAATCGGAAAGTATGCTGATGATTCACACAAGAGAAACCTTTGGCCAATGGTTCCGAAACGCCTCCTGGCTCGCAAACGAACAATAGCGACATCCAACAAACCGTCGCGCCGTGCGTCGATTATTACAGACCACACCCGGCAGACTAACTATAGCATTGGCACACTCATTCCGATTCCCCACGCGAAAGAGCGACGTCCCATCCCTACGTTTTCATGCCAAAGCTTGCCTTCGATGCCTGCCGCAACCGAACAAACACACAGCACAAAGCATCCCATCCCACACACACGACGACAGCAGTGGAGCAAGTAACACTCTACGTTCCCTCCTGAACAGCAGTCTCCCAAATTTCCGCAACCGGTTTCTCTGGGTACTTGGTGCAATGGACCGTAACCGAAAAATCATGACGAGAGTGGAATTTGCTGTGTAGAATATTCCGCGGCTCCCGCGCATTGGACTGGCAAGCGTCCCGAAAGTGAGATACACGGGAGGGAATCACATGCTGCGCTTCTCGAACGAGTGGAGGGAGTGCACACCACCCTCCCGCTGGGCGGCCGGGGATCGCAACTCAAGGCGGAGCGTGCCGTCGGCTAGGGCCTCGTGCATCTCGGCCATTGAGCGCATGCCGACATCCTGGTTCGGAAGGGGAAAATAATCCGAAGAGCAGAGAAAATAGCGCAGGGGAGGGGACACAGCGATGTAGCGTTAGGCCTTCGGCGCCAACGTGGTGAGACAGACCCCGCTGTAGCGCGATGAGGTTTTGACCATACTACAGCAGTCCGATAGCATCAAGTCCTGGCACTAACGTGCAGCGTTTCCTCTACTACGGTCAGTACAACAGAGAGAACAGAGTGTAGCATCCGCAAATCGGTGGCAAAAACTGGTCTACAACTTGTCGCGGTGAATTCTGTACTGACTCGAACGGACTACAGAAAGACCTTCGTGAGGAGGCCTGCGCGGTACACCGCTTCCGAACAGTCGGCAGTCGTCACATCAAAAACAACCGACACCAAGGTGCGCCCGGAAGTCAGCAAGGTCGCTTGTTTCCGCGTCCTGAATGGTACAGATCTACAACCCGGACCCCCTTTTTCACTTATCGATGCTCACACCGTTACGACAGCATCACCAGCAATCTATCCTATCGTGTTCTCTGGTCTCGTCCGTTTTCTCTGTTGCTTCTCGCCTGAATGCCATGCCGGAGGCCTGTAATGAGGTACGGAAGGTACTTCCTGAGCGAGCCCTTGTCCACCACGGCCCCGGACACCCCTTGGGCGACCTTAACCTTGGCTCCAGATGCGAAGTACCTGCCATGTTGCCATGTTGCCATGTTAAATCACGCGTTGATTGGTGCACCGTCACAGTCTTGTCCAAGTCGCGACGAAAACCGTACCGATAGCATTGCGAGCGTTGTACACTGCCCGTACAGGCGGGGACGACCACGCCAGCAGCAACCACTATGTCATACGTGGCAACTACGACTGTAACGACAGGACAAGCAACAACAACACCAACATAGAAGCAAAGAGGGCAACAGCCAAAACAACAACAACAACAACAACAACAACAACAAAAGTAGCAACGACAGCAGCCGCAAAACTACAGCAGCAAAGATAGCCGCACCGCCATCTCACCTTTTCTCTGAGCCCTTGGACATTGCCTCGATCGATCCCATCCCACGGTACCTCTTGAGACGAACGCCTTCCTGAAAGAAGTACTCCCCGGGGGCCTCCTCGGTACCCGCCAGCATCGAACCCATCATTACAACACCCGCGCCCATCGCCAGAGCCTGACCAGGACATTGTCCAACAGGAAAGCGTGCAAGTTGTTCAAAACCTCTAGTCGAACATCGAATCCAATGGCAAACAAAGGCTGGGTTGTGGCGAGCATGTCCAAACCGCACGCCGAACGTCGAACCCAAGTCATGGCTGGTTCGTGGCGGACAGGACAAGAAACATGCCGTGGGTTTCGTGAGCATCAACCAAACATCGACACAGGTATGCTATGCAACACTGGAATCGTTGTTGTTCTAGCCTAGCCTGTATCTGTGGACAGATGGGATGACATTCCTCACGTGGATAAATAAAAATGAAAAGCATCAACCAGCTTCGGCACCCTCAGCTACATCAAGCGGGGAAGAAACAAGAGGACAATACCGACAGGGAGCAGAAATGGGCATTGTCCCGGTACTCCCGAGAATACGCTATCCCCACCGTCAAGAGTTTGAACGTCGCTGTTTCATCACCGCCCAAGAACAAGCGCACCGTTACAGAACGTGCCACCACTTCAGAACTCACGAGTTGAGAACTTGAGCCAAAGAAAAGCAGAATCTGTGATTAGCTAGAGCACCATTTGTGAGCTCTGTTAAGAGCCCCAAAACAACATCCTTTGCATCGACCATTCGTAAGATGACCCCCGGAATACAGTAACAACCCCACCCTTGGCCGAAACTTGACGTGCTGGAGTCGTGGCGCGTTCCATCCTGCATTACGCATTTAGCATTAAGCACTTAGCATTTAGCATTTAGCATTTAGCATGTAGCACCACTACTTGACGCCACCACGAAAAAGACAAAAAAATAAAAAAACAAAAGTCAGCCAACGGCTAGCCTTTTCGGCGCAGTGCTGTGTCGAACGAAGGCAACGCATTGGTCTCTCACCTTAACGATGTGGCCTGTAGCCGCGATTCCTCCATCCGCCCACACAGGCACCCCAAATTTCCGAGAAATGCGGCTGGTGTTGTATACAGCAGAGGCTTGGGCGCGCCCAACAGCGCAAACCTGTATCGCGGTGTAGGTCACACATAACATCGCAGTGAAGGTGAGTAGCTCGCTGCCGCGCCACGCGGTAGCGTCTACGGTATGCATCCATATTCTTCGGATGATACACGGGGTTCCATCTGTTAAACGCCCTTGTGTTACTCTCCCCAGGATCTCATGAAAGGCTGTGTGACCACTTAAGCTCGCTATCTTCCCTTCTAGGGACAGAGTCGTCCTGATGGCATGGACGACCCACATCCGTCCATCAGTCTCATGTCCACAACGCGGACACCTGATGGCCATCGGTCTGCATACACTGCTCGCGAGGCGAGGCTATGGTTGTTGTCGTCGTCGTTGTCGTCGTCGTCGTCGTCGTCGTTGTTGATTGTGGTTTAGTGTGAGTTTACAGAATCAACATGCCTGGACGGTAGTACCAACCAGAAAGCCCCAACAGCCAACCTCTTCGTATCGCGGCACACGTAAGATGTCTAACAGCACCGCTGCGACACCCCATGCGCCTCTGTGACTCTAGGCCTGCTCGACGCCCCAACTTATCTATGACAGGTGAAGCAAGAGCGGCATTCTCCCTCGCCCGCCCAACGTTGCTACAGACTAGAGCAAAAACTCTCTTTTGCCGAATGTCCCAGATCAACATCAGACCAAACCGCCCGTCAAGAATAAACCCTCATGCTTGCCAGAGTGTCAATAGAAAACAGGAATATCGCAGGCATACGACCGGATCCCTACAAGCAACGGGAACGATCTATCCACCGTACCATGCCCATGCCCATGCATACCTCCTGTGTAGTGCAAATAGACCCGACGCCCATGCCAACCCTAAGCGCATCTACGCCGGACTTGATGAGGTTGGCGGCCTGCCTGGCCGTCACCACGTTCCCGCCGACTACGTCAATCGCGGGATACGAAGACTTAATGAACTTGACCATCTCGTGCTGGTACATCGAATCTCCCTGGGAGGAGTCGATCACGATCACGTCAACGCCCGCCTGAAAGCCAAGCGAGACAACATGAACGCGGTCGCAAAGTTCAAGCTTGCGGGGGTTAATGCTGTGATCGTGTCTTTCATGTCACACTCCATCGGGGGCAGGGGGAGGGGGGG